TTCATGGGGTTTAGAACTGATACTTCTATTAATGCCGCTTTAAATAGCAGCTCCTGTTTTACAGCCACATCACATTGTTGACTCATATTTGGTTGGCAAGCTACAACCACTCCAAGATCCTTCTCATATCCAATATTGTTGAGTCAAGTATCCTCCACCCTGTAACTGTGTGGTTTCTTTTTCTAGTGCAGAGCTTAATATCTGTCCCTATTAAATTTCATACGGTTGATTTCAGCCCAGCACTCCAAACTATCAAGATCACTCAATATTTTGTTACTGCCATCTATAGTATAAGCTATCCCACTCAATGTTGCATCAGCTGAAAACCTAATCAGGATATCATGGGGCACTTTGTCAAAAGCTTTTCTGAGGTAAAGATCTATTATGTCCATAGCATTCCCACAGTCCACAAGGGAGACTACCTGATTGAAAACTGGGATCAGGTTAGTTTCGCAGGATTTGTTCATGACAAATTCATGTCAGCTTCTAGTAATCATTGCATTGTTTTCAAGGTGTTTGCAGACTGACTGCTTTATAATCTGCTCCAGAATTTTCCCAGGGATTGATGTCAGACTGACAGGTCTGTAGTTTCTAGGTTCCTTCTGAAATTAAGCACTTCCACTTTTTCTTTGTTATCTGTTTTCATTCTGCCATCCTCACTGAGTAATTAACTTCCCCTTCTAATATGCACATATCTAAAGGATATTTTTTTCTTTTTTTTTTACTACTTATAGCATCCCCTACTAACCTCACCTCATTCTCACCCTTAGCCTTCCGGATGTTGTCCCTTCTACCTGCTTGTATTCTTCCTTTGTACCCTGGTCTTTCCAATACCCTTTTCTTTCCATTCCTTAAAAGTATTCTTTTTTTCCCTTTTCAGGTCATCTGTAAGTATTTTTGTTAAGCCACATTGGCTTCTTCAGTTTTCTTTTACCTCATTTCTTGTTGAAAATGTAATTGTGCCTTTAGAATTTATAAAAATTCACACTTACCGTGGACAACTTTCTCATTAGAGTCATTTACCGTGGGACCTTACATGTCATTGTTCTCAGTTTATTCAAACTGGCTTTTCTAACATTCAAGATTCTCATTTGACTATACTCAGCTTTAGCTTCCTTTTGAATCCAGAAATCAAGTATGACCTGGATGAAAAAAGTATGAAAAATCAAGTATTTTCCCCCAGAGTTCCCATAATTGTCACTTCATCCCCAAGGTCATCCCTCTTGGCTGGAACCATGTGAGGGATAGCCAGTCTTCCTGGTCCTTCCTCCACTTTCTGCAGGGAGAAGTTAACCCAATAGAAGTCTCCCAACAGATGATATTGGGGGTCACTGAATTACAAGGACATCATGCTTCCTTGAAACATCGGCGTTTTCAGATGTTTCACATACGTCTTCTCCTTGTCCGGATGGTTGGTAGCAGTCTCCAACCACCATGTTCCTTCCATTCCTTTCTGTACTGATATTAATCTAGATGCTCCCAATGGAGCTGCTAAGTTCTTCTTCCCGTATTTCTGTGCAGTGTTAGGCTTTTTTAACATACAGCACGATTCCCCCTCCCTTTCCGTTCCTTCTGTTCTTCTTGCACAAATTATATTCTTCACTTGCTTGAATTCAAGTCATGGAAGTCATCGCAGCCATTTTCCATTACACCACTTACATTTTTGGAAGACTATTACTGGACGCTCTTATAGCTGCTCTCTCCATTGTGGTGCATAAACTTTTGTCCACTGCTATCCCCAAGTTCACTTCTCCCTCCCTTTTAGGATTCAGGTTGAAAGCCCTCCTGATTAATTTCTTCATCCTGTGGCCAAACACATTCTTCCCAGTCTTTGTGAGGTGCAACCCATCCCTGGCCAGCAGCCATCTTCTAGGTAGCATACCCATGGTCCCAGGATCCAAATTTGTCTAGCTGTGCCCCATTTCCCTGGGAGTTTCCGCTATTTCATTTTCCCTTGTGTTAGGATTCTCCCTGCTATCTCAGGCTGCAGTTACTCTTCCAGCTCCTATACTTCACTTTGCTTTGCAGTTCCACTGCTCAAAGAATTCTATACATCCACTTATTCCCCTGAAGGTGGACATTCACTGCTTCAGTATTCTCACTTTTTTCACCCAACAGGGCAACTAGGCTGCCCTTGCTGCACATGTAGGCCAGGTTGATCTCAGGCAAGAAAACTGACATTGCACAGTAAATCGCCACCACTGGAGTGTCTTTCCTGTCCGTAATCACCTACCTTGTTGATTGCACTGGAGTGACCTGTACTTTATCCCATCCTTTGTGAAGGTTTACAATAAATTCCTACTAGTATATAAATGTGCAGTACAAGAAAAAACAAATTTTAAACATTACAAGTTGTTAGGGACCTCCCCTGCCAAACTTCTGTTAACTCTCCCTGTTGGCTCACTGTCTGGGAGCTAGCATCAAGTTCCTATATTTCACGTTGCTTCATACTTCCACTGCTCTAAGAATTCTAGCTAGCTTGCTTGCTTGTATAGCCTGGACCAGCTGGGATAGTTTCCTTTGCTCAGCTGAGCTAGAGCAAACAGGATTACTACCTGAAAGCCAGTCTTATGCCTTCAAATGATGCAAGATCCTCTAGATGGCTTTCCATGTTGTAAGCAAGATGATCCGAAGCAGCGCAGTTGAACGGCCTTTCATGAAAAGCTGAAAAAACAGAAATACTACACATGGATCTGTTTGCAAGATGCTAAGGCCTTTCTAACTGTTACACTTATATTGTGAGTCGAGTATATACTAAAGTTGATATATGTTCTTTTGTTATTGTTTGAATCTTCTGAAGTACTAGTATCATATCCATACCTGTCAAACTTTGTTATTATCATACTTCTTAAAATATAAGATTTCTTATTTCCCTGGAATTCTTAGGGAGAATGCAGTCAAAAAAGAAACACCGTCCAGTTTAGACCATTGTCATTATTCATCATATTGGTTCAATATTGCTAAAAACCTGGCATGGCTTTGCTACTTAGCCTAGAGCATTTGCTTAAATTTACACCGAGTGCCATGGCTTCAAAGAACTGAAGATCCAGATAGTCTGGCACTGGAGCAGAACCCTTCAAACGCTTGATCCAGATCAACACTGCTTTAAATGCAGAATGGCAAGCAGAGTACATACTGTTGGATCAATTATCTGTTGAGAAGTTTTCTCAAATGTCATGCTTCTGTTTAAAGTTCTCTTGCCAATCTTATCTATTTTATCTTGTTCACTTTAGTTTGTTCTGTTTATACTAGTTTTTCTATTTTACATTTTTATGTATTTACATATGCTAAGAAAAAAATAAGAGCGAGAAATGAGCAGGGCTTCACTCAAAAGCAATGAAGCACCAATTGCCCACTGCCAAAAAAGCCCTCCTAAAGTAGAAGAATCGCTAAATTAAAAAAAAAAAAAAAAATCAATCGGTGGTGGTGATTTTCAATCAATCCATTAAATAAGAACACATTTACCATGTGAATAAACCAAGATCTTCAGGAGAAGAAAGCAGACATTGTATTTGATAATGGAACATTTGGCAGGATACACCTCCTAGGAAAATACTCATTCCATCTGTGCTTATGATGGTGCCCATCACGTCCCGTTTTTACTGGTAATCTGGGGCAATCACCATCCCAGATGATGGTCATCCCAGTTATTTGGTTTAACATATTCCACACCCAGAGTAAGTGGATCTGAGCAGAAATCATACAGTAAGCCCATTGAAATCAATGGCTAAGTTGTCACATCCATTTGAACTGATCTGTTCCAAGAATGATCCAACCCTGGATCCAGCCCAGAATTCAGAGCACCACCGTGTTAAGGCCAAGACAGCAAGTGCTACTTACAGTTCCCTGCAGGGATGTGCGTTGCACATATTACATGCACTCGTTTGAAAGTAGTAAGTGAAACACTGGCTCAAACGGTTGATAAACTGGGGAGCTTTGAAAGGTGGTCTTAAAATGTGCCACTAACAAATCAAGAAGTCAGGGATATCTGGTTTTAACAGTTTGCCTATACTTTCCAGCAAAGAAAATAGCAGTACTTTACTGCAGTATTAAGCGAAGTGGTACCTTAATGTTCTTCTTCAGTTACTCACACTGGACAAGCATTCTAAAAGGCCAGCATTGTGTGAACTTTATAGAAATGTAAATTGGGGCATGGGGGTGGAAGAAGGAGACAAGAGAACTCAGTCCACATTACCCTATATAGTTACTCTCATTAGCAAAACACACACATGTATTGCTAAATGGGCGGAATGCTAGCAGAGGCCTCCAGAAGGACTTTGGCCAAAACTGCAGTGGAAATTGGCCTATAGAATGAATGGGCCAGTTATGAGTAGCAAGACCAGCTGACGGCTGTGTATAATTAGCAGTATTTGTCGATCGGCGCAGCACCAGCCATGGAAGGCACAGTTCTCACAGTGTGCCAGCCACTGGTGTTTGGCACCTGAGGACCCACATGGCTTAGAAACAAAAAACATCCAATACTCTTTGCTATCACACACAATGCTGTATTTTATCCGTACTGGCATGGCCACAATGCAACTGCTAATCAATGTCAGTAAGCTGGAACAATTGTGTTAACATGAGCACGGCCACTACTGAAATTGGACTATTAAGTCTAAACTAAGTGTGTCGTTTTGCTGAGCAATACGAACTCCAAAATGTAACCATCTGGGGATAGTAGATCTGATATACATTGAGTTAGCTTTGAATCAGGGTTGGATGGATATTGATCTCTGAAACTTTCATTACATTTTGTACTATTATATATTTCAGTTCACCCTTTTATATTTCTCGGAAACAGGGTGCCTTACAAAAATATTACCTATTAACTGAATCGGAAGGAATGACTGAAATAGGCTTGCCAATAAATATAGGACAAATGTGTTCTTTCCAGACAGGCAAATTGGGAAGGGCCAACCAGATTCTGAACAAGCAAATAACGAGGCCTGCCACTGGCAGCAAGATGGAAAAGGGAGCAGTACAAGAAAACACAACAGACGTTTCATTAAATAAATTTATTTGTTAAAATAATTTAACTCCAAATACAACTGCTGAGTTTGCATTGAGTTCTATGTACATTTTGATTTTCTTTGAAACATTTTGATTTAAACAACTGACACCTTATAAAAACTTACTCCATTTTTCAGTTATCAGTTGCAACAGAGCTCAACAATCAACTGTTAAATATCTTTATTCAACTCTAGGAAATCCCAAATCGTCAATGGTTAAACCTACTTTTCAAAAACACACTGCAATCCCTTCTTGGAACCCTGATCGAGAACTGACAGAGGAATAATGGACGTTAAATCCCTACAGTTGCCAAATTTGCTTTGTTCCGAAATTACACTCCCAATGGTGCTTTGTGAGCACACTGGTAACAAACCATGCATCCCCTCACCCCAAATGAGCAACATCTTTAGGCAGCAGGTGTCATATAGAAAATACTGGTAAGTTTGCCCACAGAAATCAACCCTAATTTTGGATTTGGGAGTGTAGTTAAAAGCGCTAAACTATTATCAGTTCTACCAGAAAAGAAAGTCCTGGAAAACTACTACCAATACATATATGAGCTGGGTTGGTGGCGGCAGCTTATTTTAAACTTTTAGAACTGATGCTGGTTTGATTCAGTTTTGTAAAAGGCGAAAAGGGGAATTAACACATTTTCAAAAGAAGTTGCAACATTTCACGACAATATAAACTTAAAAAAAATGCCAGCTGCAGAAAAATACAAAGCTCTACAATAATAGCTAAAGAAGAGTGGGTCTTTGGATTAAATGATAATATTTTAAGGCATGTTATACCCAAACAAATTTACTATTGTTGGAACCTGATCAGGATACAAAAATAAGCAGTCGTCCTTGACAAGCAACTCCGGAAATGTACCATGGGGGTCACGCGTGCCAGTGCGCCACTCCTATGCCTTGATGAATGAAGGAGGAGTGGCCCTGTGGCCCATTTGTGAAAGTTGCAGGGTTTATACCTGAAAAGCGCCATATTCCCAGTTGCACACAGCCTGGGTGGCCGGAATTAGGGGGAGCTGACTGTCAGAAACTGCCTAGTTTATTTAAGTCCATCTTCTGTGTCAGTCAGTGGGGAAAAATATCAATGCAAGAGAGCAATGGCCAGAAGACGGAAAGCCAATCAGCACCACTGGTCATGAAGAAGGGAAGAAGGAATCGATACAGGAGTACTGGCACCTTTTGAATTGGCACTAGACAACTGGGGGCGCTAGACACCCATTGTACCTGCCACTTGTTCGGCCGGCCTAAACGTATAACATGGTGCGTGTGAGTGTGGGGAAACGCCATATTAATGCGACTAAGTGTATATTTCAAAATCTTTCTTGTTGATTTACAGCATTTTAGTTAAATAAATCTTTTTGCTGTTCCACCTATAGCCGTGTAAGCAGAATCCATGCAGCAGACAAACTGCCTTCTTAGAATTACAGATCATGTGTAAAATTATTACACTTTTGCAAGACTGCACAAAGCTTCATCTCCAAAACAGCAACAAACATTATCGAGGAAGTACTCTGAATTACTGTTCTCTTCAAAATGACTGTGTGATGCAAGGACTTCTACTTCAAAATCATGCCCGCTTTTATAAGAAATGCCATTTTTATGCCTGCCATAGATCTTGCTCATGTCCTTGTTATGACTTTGTAAACAACTTGATATGCAGGACAGGAACCATTCCTAGAGTAAATCTGCATAATATGCAAGCAAAATTTATACCTGTTCGTCTCATTTTTCTTGAAAGACAGAGCTGAACATTTTCTAAAGCAACAAAGCTAGAGCCATATAACATTCTTTCTAAAATATTTTAGGGACTGTGAGCTCTTGATGGCCTTCCCCCCGCTTAATACACGCAGGTTGTCCATGTGGGATTCACTAAGGTGCCACAACTTCCTCAGCTGTGCAAGCTGCTTGGGAAGGGACAAGATTTCTCGAGTAGGACCCAATGTCTAGCATTACACTCTTTGCTTTCTTGATTATGGAAAAAAATCAAGCAAGGACTAAGGCAATAGTGGCCTATAATCAACCATCATTACTGTTAAGTCATTAGAAAGTGAACTAAATCAAAAGTGTTCCACCGTGTAAGAAATAAAGTGGCTGAGTGTTGTCAAAGTTTTTTTAAAAAATGCTTTAGAATTCAGTTTCTTTAGACATGCGTTAGATTGCAGGTTGTTTTTCTGCTTATGGAGGCAAACATCTCAGAACTCAAGTTCATTACAGCATTTGTAAAAAGTTCCACACCCACCCACCAACACACACACACGCACGACACACACACTCTCTCCACTCATCTACACAAGAAACTACAGAACTACTTCACAAGACTGAGAAACCAAACGGTGGGGTGGTATTTAGACCACAGGCTCAGTGATATTGCATTTTAAAGGCCAAATTTTTTCCATCAAGGTCCAGCTCAATATAATCACTCCAGCATTTCAACCTCAGACATTCTGATTGGAAACTTCCTTGATTGTAAGACATCAGAATAAATATAACTGGTGCTGTTAAGTCATGCAAATTATAAGTATTTCACTGCTATGAAAATTAAGATCAGAGGATGAGCACCATTTCAAAACAATGTTTTCACTCACTATTTGTCACGGCAATTACCAGGGCGACAGGATCACTGTATGGCAGCACCTGACTAGCATGTTAGGCAATTGAAGACAAGAACCCTTTTCTTGCTCACATATGGAATTACAATAATCGGTATTCAACTTCTGAGCCAAAGTAACTTCACACTGTTAATTCAATTAACCAAATTGCCAACATTAAAGCTATAAAATGGCAAATTTGAATTCCATAGGTTAGTCGGGATATCACATCAAAGACATAGCCCTTAAAGGCAAGAAATAAACTGGTATCCTTAAACTTAAAAATGCAGGATGCGCGTACAGTCCCCAAAAGGTTTCTGCAAAAAGGAACATCTGGATACAACATGGCTTCATTTTCCTTACAAGGTGGTACTTGTTAATGTGCTAAAATTTTTCCTCATTAGTAAGGCTAAGCGATTTTTTTACCCCATCACAGTTGCTTCTTCCTGGTTCAGTGAAGAGATGAACACACTTCCTGCTTTGCAAACAGAGGGTTTGTTTGGCTTCTTGACTGAACAACATCGGAAGCGATTGACCATTTCTGAGCAGCGAAGCAGAATATTAACACATCCCAATGTCCCACAGTCCTCTTCACAAGCCGTTGGATTTTTTCAGGGCTCCTCACTTTACCTTCGTGTACTGATGGAATATTTTCCTTTTCGCATGATGGGATTATAGAAGACAATCAAATTTAAAGGAAAAAACAGAACTACATCAATTTGCTGATAATCCTACTAACACTTGAGTCAAAGATGAAGTTAGCATATTTGACTGAGTAAACTTGGCCACAAGTGACAAGTCCTGAAATTCAATATGCAGACACACAAACTTTGCTAACAGTTACTTATCAGTAGAGAATATGCAGAGTGCAAAGGGTCTTTGCTGGTGCTCTCCTTCTCACCATCATCAACAACTCTTAACTTAAAGCTGTGGTTGTTGTCTGACAAAGCCAACATACACTGTTTGTGCTCACCCTGTAAATCTGTCAGCTATGCCACAGAATTGAAGGTATAGGAGATGTGCTGCAGGTTGAGTGAACTGTAGATGTGAACGGCTCCCCAATTCTGCAGTTACGGGAACTGCAAAAACTCATCCCAATTCTTTTCCGATTCTGGGAGTTAACAATGCTACTCCACTCTGGATTTATTTCAAGAAACCCAACTTTAAATCACAAAGCAAAGCAGTCAGTTGTATTACCTTACCAAAAATACAGCGAATTAGGTCCAGTTCCATCATTTGGAATGCTATTGAATGTTACATGCAGAACAGCATGGATCATCCTTATCTGGCTGAGAGGCATAGTTCATCTGTCTGACAATCTCTGCAAAGAGCTCATCCACCATTGTTTTACTTTTTGCAGAAGTCTCCATAAAAGGACAACCCCATTCTTCAGCCAGGGCTCTGCCTTCACTTGATGAAACTTCTCTCTCACTCTCCAGATCCACTTTATTTCCAACCAAGATTACAGGCACCTTTTCATACCTGCAATTGAATTCCAAAAACAGACAGACAGACCCATGAAGTTTCTTTGCAATCTCTAGAAAAACCAATTCCTAATGCAGCAATATAAAGCCTTAGATTGGAACGTTGTTACAATGTGTTTACTACTTTTATGCGTATGGGTGAGTGGCGCCATGGGGCTGCGTGGGGTAGCTCAAGAGGCTGCACGAGAAGGATCTGCCTGCGCAAGAGCTTTTCCACCGCGCCACTCACACATGGGGGATGACGCCAGCCTGCCCAGCAGCCCCCTCTCTCCTCACCTGCTATTTGAACGGGAGGGTGCTGCCCTAGCACCCTGCTTTCGATGCCCTGCTCTGCACGCTGGCAGCTGCACATGTTGCGAGGAAAACATTAACTCGTCTGCAGCCAGACTATGCAACTGTGCTGATTCTGTGGCCTCCAATTCTGGTTTGAGGCAAATATCTTCATGCAAAGCAAGAATGTCAATGAAGGAATTTGAGCTCACGTGGGGAAGGAAGCATATGAGTCCAAGGCTGTGGCACAATTAATCATACATACTGGTTTGCTGTTCAGTGGAAAAGAAGTCAATTAAAATAGATTTTGATTCTACAGTATCTCTTCTGAAGTGCTATCCTTCACATTGGTGAAATTCTGGGGAGGGAAGGAGAGCCGGGAAGAAGGGGGGGAGAGAGGGAGAGAGGGAGAGAGAGAGACGGACAGACAGACAGACAGACAGACAGACTGTCCTGCTAGCCTGGAGCTGAAATAGGGGTATGTTTGTAAAGAAGAAGCTTTCTTTGTGATTTGTAACCCAGAATATGCAGCAGGCTTCTCTTTTCCAGACACTTCTCCAATGCATAGCCAACGTGCGGGGCAGCAATGTGGAGCAATGAGCCTCCAATCTTCTGTTGTGATTGTGTGGAGGTCCCAAGCTCAAAAATATTTGTGACACAGTATGGACAGCGGCAAGGCAAATGGAGAAGTCACAGAGCCATGATTTCTCTTCCTTTTGTTAAAACAAGAGGCAAAACATAGACCACGATATACTGCACTGTAAATGAAGATGGTCAGAAAGATCACACAAGAGAGGCAGGAGTACCAAGGCACAATTTTGGATCCCAGACAAGCGGCTCTCTGCCAAGTTCTCTTCAACAGTTTCTAGCAGCTCTGAACATACACGAACATTCACGCACTACCTTGTCCTACTAAAAGCTCAGGCTACACATCACAGTAATTTATATGCAGGTAGTACTTGCAGCCCTCTACCTAAATATCATGCATAGCAACACGATAAACAAGACGACAGCCACAAGGCTGACTCATTCAAATTATTCTGATGAACAACTCAACTAAAGGATAGAAAATTCACTTGTTAGTCCTTTAGAATTCTAATTTTTGCTACGCTGAACAGCTTTCAAAAGATTCTGATGTATTATAAAAGCTTCCATAAAGCTGAGTAAATGAATTTGCTGCCAACACCTCTATAATAATGACACACTTCAAAGTTTCAGGGTAAAGAATGGTGGTGTTCAATGTGTGCACATAAATAGCAGCTCTCCTTCCTACATGTCCCTAGAGGAACCTTCGGAACATCCTTCCCTAACCTGGTACCTGCAGATGTGTTGGACTATCATCTTCACTATCTTCAGATACCACGTGGCCAACATATCCAGAGAACAGCAGACTGCAGAAAGCTGATCTGGACCACTATGGCCATTTTCTTCAGGGCGGAAACTCCAGCTGGATTCTGCCTCGACATAAGCTGAGGAAAAGAGTTTTCCCTTCTCCTATCAGCTTTGCAATTTGGGGCATGCTGCTTCTCCTGTTTCATGTAACAGTGTGACAACTTAGGCTGGTTATGCCTTCAACTGAATTTGAAGTGGTTAAGCTAATACTGATTGATCTTCAACAAACTAAGGGTTTTTATTAAGGAGTGCTATAAAACAGGAAACACATAACGATGTATTATGGTTGCTGTAAACCTCATGATAGCCTAAAGAAAGTTTCAGCCACTCTAGGACGCCACGGAATAAACCCCGTATCTCAAAGGAAGCAACATTTGTACTCTGTTCCCTCCGTTCCCTCATTTTCTTTTTTGGAGGGGGAAGGGGTACAGGAAGTGTGACGAAATGCCACAGTAGTGTTTAGCAATACAAACTGTAAGTGTAAACAAACATACCCTGCTAGATCTAGATAAAGAATGAGTCAACCTTCTGCCTCTGAATGTACGTTTCTTCCTTGCATTTATTAGCAAAATGAAGCAGATTCTTCCTAACAGGCCCACGTTTCAACTCTGTTGAAAAGCTGGTTGAAAACACGGCCAATGGACCAAGTGATTGCAGTGAGGGCTGCCAGCTTCGAGGAGACCAGAGAAGGTCCCCACCTGCTGCAGCACACCATAGCAGGCGCTATCACACAACAGGTCTCAGCAGTGATTCTGATGGAGGTGGAAAGTGTTCACGCCACCCACCCTGCCTCATACCCAGAAGTAAGATAAACTGCCCGGAATGTCCCCAGTGCATGGTGTACTTGCAACATTTCAACAAGTGTACACAGTGTAGGCATTTTACATCCGTAGCCAAATTCACCCTGGATTAAATATTTTTATTGTAATGTTATGCTGCAATGCAGAGGGTCATAGAGCCATGACAAAAAGAACCCATGGCACGCGTTTCCTTCTAGCTAAGCAGTTCTATGCCGAGGTTACGTGTTGACACTACGAATGTTGCTATTCCTTCTGGACATACAGAGGAAGAGCGATGGTTTTGGAAGACATGCTACATGAGGAGCGATTAAGCCTTACAGGCTCACACTTGTTAGGCTTTGCAGACTTAGCACATGCAGTGGCAGGAGGACTGTTCATTTAGGACACTCCCCCCCCCCACACACACACACACATTTCTCTGCATTTTGAAGACAGTCCTGCTAATCTTGAAACACAGCTGCTTGGGTTTTTAGCTTCATTTGCACATTAGACTCTGACTTAAAACACTTACTCGTTTTTCAAAGCTAGCAGTTACAATTCCTCTTTGGGCATAATCCCCTCCTTAATTTCATAAAGGAAGCCTCCAAGCACAGACTTAACAGATGATTGCGATCTTCGTACAAGAACATTTTTGCTATATGATGCCATTTTCCCTCAATACATGAAAGAATGCTTAGTTGAGAATAGATGCTGAAGAGCTCAACCTTATCTATGATCCATCTGTTGGAAGTGGAGCAGGCTGGAGAAGAAAAATGCCTGCCTTCAGGAGTAACGTAAATTGGTTGGCCACAGCATCACGTGAAAGAGCCACATTGGGCTACCTCCCTTCTTCCCCACAGATACTTTAAGCAAGCCTACACCATAACCCAAGTGTGAAAGTCGTATTGATTTGAAATTTACCAGTATCGACCACACTTTATCAATGAGTGCAAAAATGACAAAACATGGGTAACCAAACGTGGAACACAAAATTCTAAACTCCTCTCAAACCTGTGGGAGGAAAGCGGGAAGTTCATGAGCTTACTTAGACACAACTTAGTGTTATGCCCAAATACAGTTCAAAATGAATAAATTCCACTCAACTCACGAACAGGAGCTCCTCTACTACACAGTACTTTTATAGAAAGCACCCACAATATAAAGCTTCTCTTTTTAGCACTACTTGCTTTCTTTGAAAGTTACATTGAGAGAGTTAGGAATAAGAGTGATCAGTACCTCTTCAATATGGAAGTAAATGTTTTAACAAGAGAGGTGAACTGCATGAAAGAAACTGCAGATTCTAAGAAAAACTTGCATCTCTAGTAATGAGCACAAACAAAACAAAAACACTCAGTGACATATAATACTGGGGCTTCATTTTTTCAATCTACCCCCCCACACCCCCCCAAGCTATTTGTGGAAAACCAAAGGGAACTGCAATTTCTATGAATGGTTTTGAAAGCCACATACAGATTCACAGCTTTCTCCTTTTCATGCATTCATAGGTGCCTCCTGTCCCATATACTTAAACATTGTACAGTAACATATGATTTAAATGAATGCTTTTAAATCACAGTATTTATTACCTGTATGTGCAAAGCCTATTTAATAATTCCAGGTAAGGTTCAGTTAAGAGAAAACATTTAAAGGCTTCCAATTAGATATGCACTACAAAAGAACCACTAGTCTTCATGTTATAGTGCTGAACTTAAAAGACTAGCCACAGGACAGATAACTGATGGATGTTCTTTTCTAAATAACAGACTATCTTCGGTTCAAATCAGGAAGAAGTGGGGAATGTGATAGCCTTTGGATCCCTTCTACATATGACTGTACTACTGAAGACACAAGGTCTGCATGAAGTTTTGGATTATCCTCCTGTATACAAATTTGTAATGATGCCAATCAGGATGTGCTTTGTTTAGAAAATAAGTTAAGTCCAATTCAATTCTATCCTTCCAGACCTCCACACATGGCCATCAATACAACACACATGTTCCTGTTGCTTCTCCTTTATAATTGGTAATATTGAGAGGAGGAGAATAATTATGTAGGCCACTTTAATTCCTTTGAAAGAAAAAAGGCAGGATGTAAATATAACAATATAAATAAATAGGAGTAAAATAAATTTGACTACATAATCATCCTCTCATGTATCTTGATTTATGGAGTGGGAATCTCTTTCTAGTACGTATCAAGTTTCCTCTCAAAGAAGCTTGATACCCAGAACAAATTCTCTCTACAAGAATATGGACATTTATTTTGAAATAAAGAAACATAAATAAATACAAATTCTTAACAGGCGAACCACCACTTTTTCACAAGGGACAGACTTGTAGTGCATAGAGCAGGGGTTCCCATTCGGCTGTGCTCACATCATCGAGGGAGCAACCAAAAGGAAGGCTGCATTGCGACTCGCCAACTTCTTTGCCAAAAATTATCCCAATATTAAAATCATTTATTATTGTTTTGTTTGCATTTGGATTCAATTCTCTTTTGTCAACCAAGACAAAATCTAGGAATAGGAATAATCTGAACCCACAGGCAGACTTGTGAA